AAAAAAAGGGAAAGGACTACCCAAAGATATTTACAAAAAAAAGGGAAAGGACTACCCAAAGATAATCTCATGTATGGGCACCTAGCCTAGTACAAGGGCTGACCGAATGTATGCAACACAATTACTGAGCCTGGCATCAGGCTCCTCTGCTGAGCGGAGGGGAACTTTCTGGAAGAGCGGAAAAGCACTCTGTAGCACCCTGTAGAGGGCAATGGTGCCACAAGTAAGACACCGAGCCCACCCTCCCATCTATTACCTGTTCATACCCAACACACTGGAGGACACTGGCTCAACCTAGAAACTATAAAATCTCGCAAAGGTGTTAGGTGTCACCCGGCCCGTAGCTCTACAAGTGTTTGCCAGATTAGTGTCGTGCACCAATGCCCAGGAGGAAGTGACACTCCAAGTAGAATGAGCTTATACACCCCAGGGGCATGGCACGCCCTACCTATGGTAAGCCAAGGTGATGGCATCCACTAGCTAGTGAGCCAACCTCTGTTTGGAGGAAGCCTTTCCCTTTTGCTGACCTCCAAAGCAGACCAAGAACTGATTGAAGCTTCTGAACCTCCAGGTGTGTTCCACGATGCATAAAGTGCAAATGGGACACAGCATGGCAAGGGGCTGGGTCTGTCACCTCTAGGGTCAGCGCTTGCAAGTTCTCCACTGGTTCCTGGAAGGGAGTGGTGGGAACTTTAGGCACATATCCAGGTCGGGGTCTCAAGATTGTGAGAATCAGCTGGCCCAAATTCAAAGCACATTTTGTCAAACGAAAATGCCTTCAGGTCCCTCACCCTCATGATGGAAGTGAGCATGATCAGAAGAGCTGTCTTAAGGGACAAGATCTTGAGCTCAACTGACACGAGCGGCTCAAAATGAGCCTTCTGTAGTCCAGCAAGAACCACAGAGAGATCCTAAGAGGGAATGAGGTGCGGTCTTGGAGGACTTAACGTCCTAGGCACTTCTCCGAAAACTGACGATCCGATTGTGCTTTCCCAAGGACCAGCCAACCAGTGCGTCATGATCTGCCACAATGACGGCAACATACACTTTCAAGGTGGAAGGGGACAGCCTCCTCTAAAACCTTTCCTGCAGAACAGAAAGCACCACACTGATTGGACATCTCTGGGGGGCGTCTTGGCGAGAATAACATCGCTCAACAAACATACTCCACTTCAGCGCATAAGCCTGCCTAGTAGATGGGGCTGTAGCCTTAGTGATAGTATCAATAACTGCCTGTGTTAAAGCCCTTAAGTTTGTCATGCCCCATACAGAAGCCACACGTGGAGGTTCCAGAGTTCTGGACACAGGTGCCAAATAGTGCCTCATCCCTGAGAAAGGAGGTCCTTCCTCAGGGGGATTCACCAGGGAGGTGCTGTGGCCAGGAACATAAGGTGCAGATGGGTCAATAAGGTGCAACCATCAAGACCTGCTTTTTATCCTCCCTGATCTTGCACAGTGTCTCTGTAAGGAAGCTCACTGGGGAAAACACACACTTGCGCAGACTCCGGGGCCAGGTAAATCTTTGCAGAGGGGGGCCTTGATCAGGGAAAAAAACAGCTGGCAAAGTCAAGTCTAGTGACCTTTATTTATATAGCGGTTTTAACGATACAGATTGTGTCAAAGCAGGTTTACAGTATTAAATAATAAAATAGCGTGTTGATAATGCAAAAGGACAATAGTAAACTCTCACATTTTTTCAGTTAAAATAAGTTAATCATTGATTCAGTGTTGTTATTGTCCAGCTCAGTTAAGTTCAAATAGTATCTGTACAATCAAGTCGACAGTATTGCTGGAAAATAAGTGAGCTGGGAGGATGTGAGAGAGTGCATTGGCTGTACGATTGAGCTCCCCTGGGAAACGAATGGCATGCAGCGATTTAAGAGGAGATGGTGAGCGAGTCATGACATGTTACAAGAGCATACTCCACCTTGCTGGTTAGGCACTTTCGCACCGCGTAGTTCTAGGAAATTAGTTCTAGTTTACACTTAGTTCTAGGAACTAGCCAGCATAGTGGTTTCTGGAGAACCAATTTCTCCCTTGTGCTGTTTTCCTGGTTGCATATACATACCAGCAGCAGGAACTCTGAAGCGGCCGATAGTGATGTCTTTATTCGTGGCATTTACAAACATCAACAACCGCTGAATGGAGGATGCTGCGTTCGGAGCTGTTATTGATGCTTGTCATGGGTTTCATGATAACAGAGATGGAATGCACAAAAATCTGACTAAATCTCCTATGACAACTTGCAGTGTTATCATCAAGGCTGAGAAAAGAACAAAATGCTGCAGACAACAGGTAAATGCCATTATCTCTGTTTTCTATGTTCCTGGAGTACATATGCATAACATGACTTTTTAAAAATGCCGGGTAGCCGGTGTTTCACATGCATTTGGCCAGTCAGCGTACACTGCGTCACTGATACTTCCTGTAGAACTGTTTTAGACTCTACTCTGATGTAGGAGCTAATTTAGTTCCCCCAAACAGAGTTCCTAGAGCTAATCACGTTCCTAGTTCCTGCTGTGTGAACACGCCAAAAAGCGCAAACTTCTGCCAATAGTTCTAGGAACTATGAAATGGTTCCTCCGGTGCGAAAGCACCTGTTGAAGTACACAACTGTTGCAGTGTTGTCCATCTGGATGAGCATATGCCTGCCATGAAGCAGCAGATGAAGGCAAGCAACACCGCTAGGGCCCCGATGCAATTGATATACTACTGCAGTTAAGGTCCTGTCCATGAGCCTGAGGATGCATGCTTGTTGCATAGAGTGCCCCAGCCCATTCTGGAGGCATCTGTTGTGACAACAACATGTCTCAAAACTTGTTCTAAGGACACTCCCAAAGCACAACAAGGTCTGATCATGGGCTGAATAAATGGCGACAGATAGGCGTAATGATCACCCGATGTGTGCCATGGTACCATGCTCATATCGAGCCAGTGCTGAAGTGGTCTCATATGCATCAATCCAAGTGGCGTTACTGTAGCTGTGGATGCCATATGCCCCAGGAACCTCTGAAGTTGTTTTCAGTGGAACTGAGTTAGCCCCCTGAATGAATTAGGCAGTTCAGCACTGACTGGGCACGCTTGTTCGTGAGATGCACCGTCATATTAATCGAGTCCAACTCTGCACAGGGATGCTCTTTTTCCAGCTAACCCAAAGCCCTAGGTGGCTGAGGTACCTAAGCACCAAGTCCCTGTACTTGCACAGCAGATCTTGTGAGTACGCTAATATAAGCCATTCGTTGAGATAGTTGAGTATCCAAATCCACACTTCCTGGAGTGGGACAAAGGCACTCTCCATGACCTCCGTGAAGACGTGGGGAGACGGGAACAGCCCAAAGGGGGTGACCTCGTACTGATAGCTAATATACTTGTCCAAAGAAATGGTCTGTGCTGAAGTAAGATTGAGACATGAAAGTACATGTCCTTTAGGTCAATCGCTGCAAACCAATCCTGGGGCCAAATTCATAAAAGGATGTGTTTTTGTGTCAACATCCCCAGACTCCACACAAGCATCACCAAAGGGACGACTGATGTACCTGCAGGATTGTCATGGATTGCAGGTGCAGGGCACCTGGCCCACAGCACTGTGAGCCTTGAAAGCCAGAGCTGAGGTCAGCTTAAAGGCTTTGGATAGGAGTCATGGACGATTCCTCCAAGTGGCAGCGTTTTGCGAGCAGAGATGTACCGCAATCGCACACTCCACCTGGGGAATGTCCACATACCCCTTGGCTGTCAAGCCATCAAGTGTAGTAAGGAGGGAAGAGCTCAAGCGTGAAGGGTACTTTCCATGCTTTAGTGAGCTCTTCATGCACCTCCAAGAAGAAAGGCACTGGGGCAGAACGTGGCTGCAAGTCACGTCTAGAGCCCAGATGCCAGTCATCCACTTGCTCTTTTAGTTAGAGTGGAGTATAGAGAGTGGCCTGGCATGCAAATTCCACTCGCCAATACTTATTGGCCGTTTCTTAG